GTCTTTAAGGGAGTTGAAGTATTAGTATTAGAGATATTATATATAATGTCTTTTACAGATTCGCTTACACTAGGCTTTACTGCCTGTCTATTGTCATTATTCTCCTCTAAAGATGGCCCAGTAAGTATGAAGGACATCATAGTTTTAGAGGTAGCAGCTGCATTAATATGTTCTGTAGAAGACGTTATTGAAAAGGAGGATTTGCACTTTCCTCTTGTGAGGTAAGAGTATTATTTTCTGTTGTTTTTGTTGTTTCTTTTGGGGATATAGATGTGTCCTTATCTACTTCTTGGGAGGTTAATGTCTTAGAATTTTGTATAAAGAGAGAGTCTTCATATTGTTCTGGAATTAAGATTTTGAGGTGTTTTATCAAAAAGTCTTCAGCTGCTGGGTAGTAGAATTGATTGTAATTAATATGTATTTGTTTTAGTAATATTTTAAATTCCATTTTCAGTTTAAAGTATGTGATGACTCTTGCAAGAGTATAAATGTCATTGGTTGTTTTGATCATTTTTTCTAGAGCTTCTTTTTGGGATAGGCCTGTGAGTCCATCATTGTCTCTTGCTGCTAACATGAAGGCTCTTAAATAGCGATAGAAGTAGTATGTAAATCGGGCTATGTTACTTTCTACTTTGTTAAGCTTTGCAAAGGACTTTTAGTAGCTATTGTTAAGCCTCTAAGTTTTTCTGTAGGTGTTGAGATAGAGAAGCTTGTTGCAAGTTTTTGATTAGAATAGAAGCTATTAGTTTTCAAGGTTGGGTATATCCATTCTTTTTGTTCTGACTCTGGTACTGGGTTGGTTTTGAAAGAGTTGGTAAAGTAAAGTTTTAATATGTTTCCTAAATTATATTCAGTTGATTTAGGTAATATGTCACAGTCTTTGTTAGAGCAAAGATGAATATGGTAGAGTGCTGCTTTAAAGGTTACTTCAAAGCATTCTTTGAGAATATGTAATGATTTTAGTAAGGAGTATGATATTGGCAAAAGTTTTTTGCACTCTTCTGTTAATTTTTGTAATATTAGCATTTTGATATAGTTGCTAGTTTTCTGTTGGTCAATTTCTCAAATTGGGTACTTTATTTTTCGAAAAAAAGTTTAAACCATGTTTTATAAGTTGTAAGATAAGGCTTAAGTGATGGGATTCTAAAGTCTTTTAAAATTTTTCAGATGAAATATTGAAAGTAGTATTAATATTAAATCGGTTGTTATTTTGAATTATGAACTCAAGTTGCTTGGAGCTGTATTTAATGTTGAAGTGAAGTGTGAATCATAATAGTTTAATGTCAAGTTATTTCATGAATTCTTCAAAGTTGATAGTTCTATATTTATGGTTTAGATAAAGATATAGGCAGTCTAAGTTTATTGCAACTTGACATCTATTGATATGTGAGTAAGATGGGATAGAATAGTGTGATCAAAGAATATGTAAGTAATCCAGTTGGGTGAAGAAAACTTTTGTAAACTTGTTAAGTAAGCCTTTGAGAGTATCATATAGGGCTTTAAAAAGAATCAGTTTTGATTTATCAAAATTAGAGCTTGAGTTAATAATGAAATCTGATAAGAACTTGAGTTTTTTGCTTGTCATTTTATTAAAAATATAACTAAAGGAGAATTTGGCAGGTGGTCTGTTGTTTTTATTATTGTTAGCTTTATTAGAGATAACTTGTCCAGGAATAAAGTCTCTGAGATTAGATTTCAGAAGGTTGAATAGTTGTAATGCTAGTGGCGTATTGAGTTTATTATATTGTTGCATAGTTGGAGTAACAGGATAGTTTTTGAACCAGTCAAAGTCTTTAAAGTATTACATTTTGGGATATTTGCTTTTTGTTTGAGTTGTTTGTTGTTATCTGTATTCAGTTTGTTGTTGTTTAAGATTTCTTTAATATTAGAGTTATTGTCTGGTTGTTTATCAGTATTTTTAGTCTTTTTGGGAAGTTTATCTAAGAATTTTTTGAAAAAAATGCATTTGTCTTCTGCAGATAGTTGTATACATTTGATTTTGTAATAGAGGCCACATTGCTTCTAGTTCATAGAGCTTGTAAATTTGGTAAGTTTTAGTTTAAGTCTGTGAATGCATTGAGAGTAAGCAGGGAAGCCACCAACTTCAGTTATAAATACAAGGGCTTTTGGATCTAATGAATGGTTGTTATCAGTTAGCATAATATAAGATGCATTTTTGGTTTTGCAAATAATGCAAGTGTATACATGATAGGAGTAGGTTGTAAAAGAGATTTGATTATTGGTATCTTGTTTGATATTGCTGTAGCAGTTAGGAAATGGATTAGCAATATTGTGTTTAGACTGGAAGGATGATTTTGGTACATTATAGAGAGATTTGTAGAGTTTGGCATTTAGATCAATTTCTATTGAGTTAGATAACTCAATTTCTGATATAAAGGTAGTATTAGAGATAAGTGTCAGAGATAAATATTGTGAAATGAAGTATGTGTGATATTTTCTACAGAGGCATCTTGTAATGATAGGTTGACTAGGGCTAGAAAAGAAGTAGTAGCCATTGTTGATATCACATTGTGTAGAATTGAAGTTAGCTAGAAGGATTTTAAAACTTTTACAGTTTTTGTTCAAGGTAGCTAAGGTTCAACCACTATATTTGTTTTGAAGGATATCTAGGTCAAAGGAGTTAGGTCAATAGTAATAATGCTAGGCATTTTGTGTAACTATCTTAGTATGGCGTATATGCTAATAAAGAACAATTTTCAAATCGGATTAAATAACCTGATTTTCAGATAAAATTTTCTAATTTAAGGGCTTTATAGATAAATTATGAAGGATCTGAGAAATGTGAGACTATTAGAAAGGCTAATTGGATGTTTAGGAAATTTTAATAAGTGTCAGAAAAGTGAATTTTCTAAGGCAACTTAGTGAATTTTTCTAAATTTACTAGTGAAATAACCTGCAAAAGCAGATTTCAGTTTTGCCTGTTTTTCAATATCTCAGTGAGTTTTAGTTTGTTTGCTATATATTATAATCAATATGACCAGAATGCAGTGCTTATTAGTTTACTAATAAGTAGCAATGTGTGATTAATTAGTAAAATATTTAGCAAATAAGCAAAACCAAAATTTTGGTTTTTGGAACTTTTCTCAGTGGCCAAGTATTGCAGAAGCATAAAACTTGGCCATTTAGGAGAAGAAAAGTGAGCTAAATAACTTTACTTAGAGGTGCAAATAAGGTTTATTTAATAAAATATTGAGGAATAATTAAATGTTTTTAGTAAAAGTTTGGTACAAGTGATCTACAGAGAGAGTTACGGAATTGGTCTATTATATATTATATCTTTGTTGAAGTGGCCTTCTAATAGATGTTGGTAGATTAAAAATAAGATGGACTCTAACTTATGCTTCTGGATCACATGTAGCAGGTAACCTTTTTTTCTTCTGTTCTTTTTGTATAGAATGCTGTTTTGAATATATAAAATTCACTTTTCTTTTGTAATGTTTGTCTCTCTTTAGGGTCGAGAATGGATAGGAGTTTGCAGATCTGAATATATGTCTTAAGTTGGTTATAATAAATAGGCTCTATTTGATCATTTCACCTATACTGTTTACAAAAAAAAAAGTTTATTTTTATTTTTTTTTAATTTTTTTGTTAGGTTTGCCAGAACACCATCACCTGGACTGGATTTTGTACTTTGAATTTGTGGGAATGTATATAAAAAAATTTTTATTTATTTATTTATTTATTTATTTATTTATTTATATTATCTTTTTTTGGTGAATATTAAATTTGGAATAATGCATCCACATTATTATGTTTTCGACTACTTTGATGTTGGATAGTAAAGTTGTAAGGCTGCAAACAAAGCATCAACCTTGCATGCCTTTCAGTAAGTTTTGAAATCTTTAACTATTTTAGTGTGCTATTGTTAGTTTCTATTATAAAAGGATTCAATCCATAGTAATAATAGAAATGTTCTACTGTTTATAGTACAGCCAAACATTCCAATTGCATAGCAGCATAGTTTTTTTCAAGTAGTGTCAACCCTTAACTTGCATATAACATCACAAACTCTTTTTTTAACATTTTTTGTACAAGTACTGCAACAAGTTCAGAACCAAAGGTGTTAGTATGCACATAAAATGCTTTGTGAAATTGGAATATCATAGAATAAGGGCAGTGATCAGGTAATATTTTAGAGTTTCAAATGCCTAGTTTTGTTTTTTTTGCCATTTATACTCAAAATCTTTCTTTAATAAATAATGTAATTGATAGTGGCAAAATCTTTAATAAATTGTCAATAGTACGATGTTAACTCAATAAAACTATAGAGTTTGTGCAAGTTGGTTAGGATTGAAAAGTTCTTTACCTTCTCAATTTTTGCCTCATCAGGCTTGATCCTGTCTCATCCTACTTGTAATTTAGAAAATAGATGTTTGAACAAAAGAAGGTGCACTTTTCAAAATTTAATTTTAAACCTGCTTCCTTTAGTTTAGTAAAGATAATATTAATATGGCTTAAATAATCATAAAAAGTTTCTGAATAAATATTTATATTGTCTAGATACACAATGACAAACTTTCTAATATAGTCAGCCAGAATCTTGTCTATTAATTGCTGGAAACTAGCAAGTGCATTACACAGTCTAAAAGGCATAATATTAAATTTATATGTCCTAAAGGTAGTAACAAATGCTGTTTTTTTCTTATCACTCTCATTAATAAATAATTGCCAGTAGCCACTTAATAGGTCCAACATACTGAACCACCTTGCTGAAGAAAAGATATCCAAAAGATTATCCACTTATAGCAAAGAGTACAAATTCTTTTTTGTTAACATATTTAATTTATGATAATTAATACACAGGCACAGTTTTTTGCTTTTTTTGAGAACTATGACAACTGAAAAGAACCACAGGCTTTGTGACTTATAAATTAATTCTCTTTCTTTTAACTAAGTTATTTTACTTTTAATAAAATCTTTAATATCAGGGGCAGCCCTATATAGGTTTTGCTCAATAGGAGTGGCATTACCTGTATCAATTATATCATAAGTGTGATTGGTGTATTCAAGTTCATTGATGGTTTGTGCAAAAATATCTTTTCTCTTTCTAGTAGTTTTTTGGCTTTTTTTTGTTGTTTAGCATCTAATTCTTTATTAACACACATTTTCTCAACTTTTTCTTTCAGATCATCCACCTTGAGTTCTACAGGAGTCATTTGTAATTCTTCAGCATGGGAAAGGTATGTTGCAAAGCTTTGTACATCTTGCTATGTGATAGAATAGAGCTCAGCATCCTCTTTACTCATTTACTCTTTAGTAAAATAAACTACTGTTTCTTCTACTTTTTCATCTTTATAGATCAACTGGTCGAACAAGTCATCTTCATCATCATAGAAGTTCTTAATTTCAACTTTTTCACCAGGTTGATGCAACTTCTTTAATCCATTATTAAAAATTGATAGTTTAATAACTTTTTTTAAATACCTTAAGATCAGGTTTTGTTTATCAAAGTATATATGGGCATAAGCCTTTTTAAACTAGTTATTACTTAACAACAGGGTCTCATCAACTAAATTAATTACTTGGAGTAAGCTGGGGATGTATATGTCTTAAACAGCAATTTTAGCACTTTTGATTTTTCCTAATGTTCTTGTTCTAATATCTGTAGCAGTTACTATAACTGTAATAGACTTTTCTTCAATTTTTAGGCCAAGTTTATTTATTAATCTTTTAGTAATAAAACTTGAGTAGCTTCTAAATCTAAAATTACAACTACAGAGTTATTTCTGATTCTCATATAACACTATGCTGCAGTTGTTCTTTTTTCATCAGCATCAATATAATTGGTCTCATCTACAATAGAAGGCCTTTGAAGGGCTTTTGCCAGATTTCTATGTTGTATGGGATACTGTAGCATTTGTCTAACTGTGGCACTTGCAGGTTTAGTTAATATGTAATTAGCCATATTGTATAGAGCAAGTAAGTCAATTATTGATAGGCCTCTTTTTCTTTTTGGAGCTCTAGTGAGAAGAGTGTTGTTATTATATTGCATTAAGTCTTTATCATCAATTAAAGAATAGGTTTTCTTGGTTTTCATTGGTTGGTTGTTAATATAATTCCTACTTCTTAACCAACCTTCCTATTGTAATTCAGAATTTGTGAGGTAATTGTTATTTCTATGACTATAGGAGTAATACCTTTTATCAATAACAAAATTTTTTTTTTTTTTCATTATCATAGCCATCATCAATACTGTTATAATTGACTTCAACTTTATATTTCAATATTTGGATAAGTTGAGTGGGTCTTCTTTTATTGGGTACTGAAGTTTTTCTTTCTATCAAACGTTTCTTTGCATATTGGTCTTTTTTACTATACTAATAACACATGACTGACATATTTGCTTTTATAGGTAGTCTTGAATATGACTTATTAACTTTAGTTTGGGGGGTTAATAGGGCTGTAAGTTTGGTATAATTGGTTGTCATGTTTTGAATTTGTTATACCAACTTATTCATATCATCTTTTCACTTATCATTACCTTTTCTTTTTCTTTTTACAGTTATGTTTCTATAGTAGCTTCAAGCTTTAATCTTTTTGGCATCAAAGATTGCTTCATCTAGGATTTTAGGGTCTTTTACTGACACTAATAAGGCAATTTTCCTTTGCAAACCTCCAATAAACATTTTGATGATGTATTCTTTAAGCAAAAATTTTCTTGGAGCAACTCTTTTCACCATCTTCTTAAATTTGTAGGTATACATTTCTATATGTTTATCTTTTTTCTGTGTTAGGAAGGTCAGTTTAACTTGCCATTAATGTTTCTGTTCAGGGGTTGCAAAGTGTTTTAAAAAAGCAGAGACAAAGCTTTTTTTTTTTATTATATTCTTTATCTTAATAATATATTATCTTCTTATTATTATAGAACTAGTCTGCAGCCATTCTAGCAAGATATCCAAATATAATCCTGATTTTTCTTTCTGTAACCCAATTATTAGTATTGGCAGCTCATTTAAAAGTTTTCACCCACTCGTAGGGATCCTTATCATCATCTCTATAGAAGATCCTAACTCTAATCCAATTATTTTTACATTCAGGTTATACATTGTTAATAACTTCTACAGTTGCATTATAAAAGGTATTGGCAATTTTCTTTAAGATGATATTGACTTAGTCTTGATTCACTTGCATAGTGGTTTTATTTTGTTTATCTTAATTATCTTTACTTATTAAGATATCAAGTAAGTTTTCTATTTCACTTTTCTATTTTTTTTTCTAAAAATTTAAAAGTTTATTTATAAAAAAATTTTTTTTTTTTTATTATACTATTTTAAAATAACAAAAAATAATGAGGTAACTATTGATTGTTAATTGAAGTTTGTTTGGTAATTTGAAGTTTGTTGATTCTATTATAGGGTTTGTCACAGTTTACTTTAAACTTTTTATTATTTTGTAAGTAATAAATTGTTTATTTTATCTATGACTGGTTAATTGTGTAATAATTATATAGTTTATGATAAGTAAAAAAAAAATATTGTTTGTTTTAAAAAAAATAAGTGAAGTTTGTTAATTTGAAGTCTGTTTGTCAATCCTATTATATAGTTCATCATAGTTTACTTTAAACCTTTTATTACTTTGTAAATAATAGATCATTTATTTTATCTATGACCAATTGATTATATACTTATAACCAATAATTATGTAATTAATTTATACTCTGTTTCTTAATTAATAAAAACTTTGTTTTTTTTAAAAAAAAAAATTTTTTTTTTTTTTTAGTTATAAAAAAAAATTGATTCAGTTTGTTAAAAATAACATGTCACTATAGTAATAAATCATATTATTTTTCAGTAAAAGTGCTTTTTAAGGCCTTATATAGGATATTAAATTCTATTCCATATTTTTTGAATAAGTTTTTTGCTTTCTTTTGTCTTTACTATATTGTTTTTCTTGTTCTTATTTCCTTTCTAAAACTTTTCTCTTTTTTTTATATAGATTTTCAAATTAGAAAGGAGGTCAAACATCAAAAATGTGATGGATAAATGGAAAGTTTGTCACTTCTACTAACCAGATGTTATGTAATATTACAAAATTAGTGAAAATAAGGCTTTAATATGTGGATTAATTTAGGCAAGTATTTACTTTTATTTATTTATATTTATTGTATTTGAGTTTCTATTTAATAACACTAACTTCCACTATCTACTACTATTACTAAGGAAGTTTGGTCCTTCCTTTCACTAGTTGGGTAGCCAAGTAATAAGTATTTTTTTATTACATTTTCTTTTGGCTTTTATACATTTCGCATTACTAATAATTTTTCTTTTCACTTTAGTTTGCTCTTCTGTTTTCTCACAGTTCTGTCTCTTTATAATTGTATTATCATGGATTTCATTTAGACAGATAAGTATTGCTTTTAATTGTATTATTTTTAGCTTATTAAATTATAACAATACTAATACACCCCTCTATTATTTCAGATTTTACTATTCTAAAACATTACTGTCAAAGTGTAATGTCTTCCCAAATTGTATACAACTGCCTTGTCTTGTGTTCTTGGCATAAAGGGTCTAATTAAATGTGTTTTGCTGTTTTTGATGAGTTAAAATGCATGTATAATCTGTGGGTCCTGATCATTACTCATACTATATATTATTATGCATAAATCATTATGTTTTTCTAACCTATGACAATAGTCAGTTATATGTTCATTAAGATACTTGACAAAAGTATTAATAAATCAAAAGACCAAAAAAATTACTATAAAACTAAAAAAAATATTAATTAAAAATTATTAATAAATAGTAATTAATTATTATATATTAATATATATTATTAATAATATATAATGTTTATAAAAAAAACTCTATTCTTTCTGTAAATCATTTTTACACAAAAATAACAAAAAAATCATCAGTACTAAAATCGTTAATATCTGGTTATTTTATTAAGATAACTAACTTTGGCTTCTTAAGTAAACTTGTTCCGCTACTAATTATATATATATTCTGAAAGTTTCAAAAAGATAACTCTCAAACTCACAGTTTAATACTGCAATAACGGCCTTTGGGTTTCTAAACTCTTTATTTAATTATTTCTCTATAACTAGCTTTACAACCTACTTTATAGCCCTAAGAAAAGTTATAGAGCTCATTTCTCCGATCAAAACAAGGTCTAAACAAACCCAATAGGCCTAATATTAATGGAGATACATTAAAAAATAGCTTTAACTCTCTTGCAAACTCCTTAAAAAATTCTTTTTCATTTACCCCCAACTTTTT